GTGCTTAGTTCATTCCACTCCAGGTGCTCAGCTCATGCAACACAGTAGTGATTTTTATTATCTTTCTTGAATGTTTTTGCTGCTTTTTAGGTGAAATGAGTACACATCATCGCTTAGACAAAGATATGAGATGGAGAATCGTGGGTAGGCTTGAGGCAGGCAATCCCAAGCTCAGGTTACAAGAGTAACACCAATTGGCATCTCTACTTTGTGGAATCATTTTAAAATCAGTGGGACAGTGTCCAAAAGACCAAGACAAGGCCGCCAGAGAGTCCCAACGACCAATGACGACCGGCATTTGGTACTTTCTGCTAACCGCCGGAGGACGTCTATAGCCACACGGCTGTCTTGTGTCCTCGCTACTGCCACAGGAACATCAGTTTCAAGGAAGACAGTTGCCAGAAGGCTCCATGAGACAGGACGGTATGCCAGAAAGTCCGCTATTTGCATCCTACTCACTCCCTTCCACAAAAGAGGGGGTTTACACCTAACAAAGTATAGTTTACACTTTTACACTCACAAAGACAGTTGCTTACAACACCAACTCTGGATATAGCTTCAGTAGGCTAATGTCCTCTTCATGAATGAGTCCATATTCTGTCTGCAACCTGATTCTCGGTGATTATTGATATGGAGAGAACCTGGAACCGATACCATTCCAGCAACGTCATGGAAAGGGATCATTATGGTGGTGGAGGAGTGATGGTCTGGGTAGGGATCAAGCAAGATACCCGCACACCGCCCCATGTGTTTGACAGTGGTTCCATGAATGGCCAGAGGTATAGGAAGGAGATCCTATAGCCCTATGTGAGACTTTTCAAAAGAGATGTTTGGCCTGAGTTCATATTTATGGACAACAATGCACATATCGCCCACTTGGTTGATTACTATCTGGAAAATGAGGATATTCACCGAATGGATTGGTCAGCCTTCTGATGCTGCAATGACCAACAGTAGAAAACAGAGATTGCCATTGAAGATATACTCATTTGAAATTTACGTCACATTCAACGACTTTTCTTTAAAAGATTTAAATCTTTTTCCTTAGACTATGGCGGTAAATGGATTTCACTTTCTGATACCAGACTTGTGAATACTGAAAAAATGCATGTTCATCATAATTTCATCGTTCGAGAATTTCAGGGAATTTTATAAGATTTCGCGAATACCAAATATTTGTTCATTATCAAATAAATTTTCTAATCTGAGATATTTTTGCTATTATTTTCTGATTTCTCTTGTAGTTACTGGATTACATTTCATACTTATATTATTTTAATATTTATAATAATTAAATTAAATCAATAAAATAATTCTATTTCTTTAGAAAAACTAGAAAATTTTATTGCGAATTGTTACAGCTCCAAAAATCCAAAGCAGAGCTTTGAGGTATGGTATGTTTAATCTTGATCATCCTCGAACCTTTTAGATGAAGTTGAAGATATTTTGCTTTTATATGTATATAGATGAGGATAAACCATTATATGAATTTCTCACCTACATTCCTACAGTTTTTTAAGAAACGCCATTCACTTCTTAAACTAATGTGGTAACGTGATAACATTGTCAAAATCTGACAGGTTTATAAAAATAAATAAAAATTATATAAATTTATAATGATCACTAAATCAGCAGTATTTATTTCTATTAGTACTTCGGCAATACTGAAAATGTTTGAAAGTGTTAGCGTAGTTCCTCTATCTCGAAGATTTCTCAAAATTGTTTGTATAAATCCTAGGCCAAGAAATTCTGGAACAAGAGCAATAAAATTTTACATTAAGAAAAATCTGCTAGACTCCCGGTATACGAATAACGATCTCTTCTAAAATACTCACTAACATCGTCTTCTATAGTTTATCAGTATCCACAAATTGTATCGATACAGAAAGATCTTTTCCTAAATGTAATGGAAATCATGTTGTCATGTTGCGCTGTTGATAACATTTCCAAAATTTGACTGGTTTATAAAATCAAAAACAGTTTTGGAAAATTGTAGTGTATAATAATTGCGTAATATTTATTTCGTATTAGTACTTTGGCCGTGTTGGCCGTTAGTGAAACTGGTAGCTTAATTTTCAAAGCTTTTAGGAAATTATTAGTGTAAATCTTAAGCTGAGAAATTTTCGCAAAATTGTTAGCATAAATCTAGGCTGTGAAACTATTAGCGTAAATTTTCGAAAATTTGTCACAATGCATCCTGCGATGGTCAGGCAAATTTCTCCTTCGATAAAATTTCTACCTTACACATGACATTTCACATCGAAATTTTACTTTGTAATCTCCACCATCTAAGCTAAAGTAATCCCTAGCAATCTTCCGTTTCAGAAATTTCTTCACACCAAGCCATAGTCTCTAATAACAAGCTAATGAAGTGTTTGTTCAACTTCTATAAATGAAGTCCATCACGTCATTTGACTAAAGTTTGCCTATTGTAGTGAAATAGATGCCAAGATAATCAAAGGAAATAAATGCTTGTGGTTCTACATGGGAGTAGCCGGGTCCAAAAGAAGGGGTGCAAAGGTCCGTAAATTGAAAATACTGAACTCAGATTGGAATCGAATACGCCCAGCAGCAACAAAGTGGACAAACTGCTGTGCAGTGGTATTTAGACCAAAGATTTCAAATCTAGGCGATGTGGCTAGTTTCATATGGGTTTTCTTGTTTTTCTCATGTTTAAAGTAAATAAGAAACCAGTTTTCTTTAAAATCTCTTCCATGAAAGCATATCTCCTCATAGGCAGATAGACCACATTGGGTACATTCAATTAAATTAAGAAACAAACTGGTAAAGCTAATAAACGAGCAAATAAGCAATGGAATTGAATGCATGAATGTGAAAGGTATATTTCAATTTTGCAATAATTATTTTAATTTCAAAGCCTTTTTCTATCAATTCTTGTTTCTACATACAACTCCCTACCAGAATGAGTTTTTAGATTCGCGTTGAATGCAAATGAGTTAGTATTTAAGGATGAAGGCTCAACTAACTTCAAGAGAGAGTGCTAGGAATCCTTAGCAGCGCGTGTTTGCCTTCGGGCTAAGTCACTCTTGAAGCTGTTACCCTCGGCCTTATTATTACGCGCCTTTTGATATTCTCCGGCTAATTTAAGTTAAGGGGCAACTAACTACATTAGATACTTGTGTTTAGCTTATGTTTAGTCTCCCTAAGTTAATTATAGTTTAGTTTCTTATTTCTTATTCTGAGTTAAAGCCGAGTAGAGGCTTCCTGTAAGCTCAAGAAGGGACACCGACTGTTATTCGTATGAGTAAAATTAAGAGTATTTTAACCTTTCTTGAGTCTACGTTTTAGTTGTTTGAACTCAGCGATAAGTCGCTATACAGTACACTAGGTACCTCGACGTTCATCTTAGAGAAAAAGAGTGAGGAACCCTACAAATGTAAGTAGATTGTGGAAGGTTTAAGAATAGTAATAAAAAGATTCGAACATTTTTCTCACTGCCAGCGTAATTTAGTCTTTAATTTAAGTATTAATTTAGCCTTTAATTTAGCCATTACTGCAACAATATTTCTTGTCGTCTGAGCGGCATCTGTCTAGATGTTATTTTTCTATTTTAGTCTTCTCTCCTGAAATAGCTTTCGATATACAAAATTCTCTGCCATTTTTTAGCATAACAATGTTTTAACTCTGCACAAGATGGTGGCCGAATATTTAAATTCGCTAAATAGATGTAAGTCGAACCAGTTTCAAATCCAGATGGTTGTTGCTCTTTGTGGTTTTCTCATGTCTTCCGGGAATCCGAGCCAGTTTCCCATAGAATGCCCTCTACAAAAGCATTCTTTCCTTTTAGGCAGATTGCCCTCGTGTACTTTGCCATAGTCAAGTAACCTAAGCTAAACCAACACGCACGAAGTACTAAATGGACGTTCAAGAATACTCTGAGACTAAGTACAAAAGGTACTCTTGAGCATGCTTTGTTTGTAAGAGAAAACAAAAATTGTCGTTGCTGCATTCATTAAATTTTACAACATTAACTCTCTCATGCTGTCGATTGTTTACTTTTTCCTCTTTTCAAAAACTGTACCAGAGTTTTATTTGTTGCAGGAGAGAAATGACAGGAAGAAAAGCACCACTTATTTTGCATTAGCGGAAATAATGACACCTTTGTTTAGAAATGCTGTCAAACTGGAAAAGAAAACGTCCTTATTATATTCGTGATTTTTGGCTAGCTGATCCCTCTTGGTGTTGATTGCAAGGAACTAACCTTGCTACCAGTTTGTACGAGTGCAAACATGCGCCATCGTCAACCCATCAGAATAGGCTCTCCTTGACTTTATGTAGAATTTTAGACTGCTTCTATGCGAAACTGTATAATTAATACTGTATATATCTGTATGTTTAATTACAGTTCATCTCACAATAAATATAGAACCAGTATTAATTTTTAAAAATTCTTTTGTATTTGCTGCGTAAGAGTTATGCCTGTGATAAGAATATTACTAATTTTTTACGTAATTAAGTTTCACACAATTTATTTTCTCATTTGGTTTTAAAGTAGCGCATTTTTAGTACAGATAACAAATGCTTATATTATTTAATTTTAGTCTTCTCCAATATTTTTAGAATGTAGCTATATAATTTCCAATTATTTTACAGATAACTGATTATAATCTACAAAAATCTAAAGGAATATTCGGAATTTGAATCCCGGTAAGGATGTAGCTGTTTGATTAGTTCCACAAAATGTTTTATTCAGTACACTAAATTAAAGCAGTAAATTACACTAAATTCAGTACACTAAATTAACCTAAGCTCCAAACACATGTTTAATTTATAAGAATAAAATAAACATTTCATAAACTCACAAGCATGGCTAAATAATTTGCTCAAAACTATTAATACGTTTTGATTAAAACTATTTTAGAATACAGCTTATTTATAATACAAAATAAATCATATATATGCTTATGATAAGAAGTATTATATAATAACTGTATGCAATTGTTATGTAATGCATTTAAATGATTGCATCGACTACCACAATAACATTAAAAATTTATTTCAACGAAGTATAAAAGATGGCACATACATACAACATTTTACTCTGTGATACAACATATATATCGATAAGTATTTTTTACTTTTTTTAAACTTAATTCACATTACTTCATGATATATGAAAAGTAATATATTGCATTGAACAATCACATACTTCACATCTATAGGATATTAGCATATAGTTTAATTAAACGAAACTCATTCAAAGAGAACATTTATTTTAGTTGCAGGAACTCATACACATGAAATTGACTAATATGCTACTATATATTCTACTTTAGACATAAAGTAACACTACAGCTCATTTGCGAAAAAGAAACAATTATTAATGATAGAGCTTTGAGTTTAATAGTTATCAGAGCAAACCCACTTAAGAAGATAAACACTTTTAAATGACTTAAACAGATATACGATTAGGAGTCAAAAAGTAATCTTAACATTTTTTTTTTACCCATGTACAAATAGGATCGAAGTCATTTCATGATTTTTAGAATTATATCTATCGCGTTCAGTACAAGTGTATCAGCGCTTCAGTAACACACACGCCTAGATTATCCAAGGGAAAAATATCTTTTGACTAACTGCTTAGCTTAGCTAGCTTTTCACATCATTACCTATACTACTTGTCAATGAGAGCCTCATTAAAGGATCTACTCAAAGATTTCTGAAGCCATATACTGCTTCTTCATTCTCCGACTAATGTCAGCAGGTTTCTAAATATGAGTAACACAAAATACGATAATTGCTTTTAGTATTCCCTAATGCGATAATAGGAATCCTCGTTACAGAATAATATGCACGGAGTCCAGGAGCGAAAACTACGGGCTACTCGGTTCCGTGCAAGCTGCCACAAAATGTGCAACTATATTCACTCTTTTTAGTTAATCTTACATTTCCTGCCCGTCTAACGAGCTTGAGCGAAATAACACCTTAATCTGGAAGGCATATTGTTTCAATGGTATAAATATTTTATTAATTAATATTTTTCTTCATATTAAGGTTACTTCTTTAGACTCGTTTTCGTATTTAATAACAAGGATTCACAGATTTAAAAGAATACATATTACAGTTTAGTTCTTAGAACATTTTGAACTGCTTACAGCCAACAAACATTTAATGAAATTTTTCTTTTTTATTTTATATATATATTAGTGTATGCTTATACAACCACAACATTACGCTTTCACAAGTTATTATACTACACACAAACATTAACATATTGATCACTTACGGAAACATCCACAAAATACACAACATTACGCTTTCACAAGTTATTATACTACACACAAACATCAACATATTGATCACTTACGGAAACATCCACAAAATACACAACATTATACATCCGGGGTTGAACATCAAATGGGGAATTATCAATAATTTAACGATTTTAAGCAATTAATTGTTAATAACCACACGAATATGAGGTTTCAGTTGTCTATTACTGTGGATTTGCAAATATAATTTTTTAAGCTATTTAGAATCTGTTTTGCTTTTCATAGAGTTCTATGACAACTTGGTCTCTAGCTTATGTTTTGAAAGTCTCATAGCGTTCTGTTCACAATATTTGCATCTTTCTAAATATGAATCTTTGAATGATATATATCCGCCAAGCGTTCAGTAAGTAGACCATATATATAACTAATCAAACTTGGTAATTTTGGACTTAAAAAGTCTAAAACTTGGCGTTAAAGCTGCTAATTTGAAAGTATTTATTAAGTAGTTTTTGCATTATCTCCTAGGAAAAGAAATTTTGGTTTTATATACATATATATTTGATTATATATATATATATATATATGGTGTGTGTGTGTGTGTGTACTTTTCACTAAATGAAAATGTACGAATAAAACTGAAACCATTTCATCTTTTTCAACATAGTACTCACCGTGTGCAATAAGAACTTCAGTCACACTTAGCTTGCTGAAGGAGCGGAAAGTATGGTTTGTCTGACTGCTCACTCAATGATATCATTAGCTAAATAATCAGTCAAAGGTACTCTTAATAACTGATAGCGGATTGGATTGCTGTTCGTCTTCAGGTGTGAAGCTGCCTGTGCTAATGCAAGTCAATATCACATTTCTCAACAGAACAATGAATCTGTGTGGACTTATACCTTAAGCTGGAGGGCGTAGCATATCTGTAGCAGTACCTATACACCCATCTATTATATAATTTTGAATTTTGTATTGTAGTAGTCAGTGAATAACTGGTTCAACTTCATTTATAATAAAAAAATCATAGAATTCGAAAAGAATGTCCTTTAATTTTAGTTCTTTGAACATTTTTAGACTTCTTATAGTCATTAAAAATTTAATGAAAGCAATTACTTTCCTTTCTTTTAACCGTTTCTATCACGTGATATACCTAAACACAATATTGTAATTTCACAAGTTATTGTTATCTACTTAAATCAACAAATAAATTCCGTTAAATTACCACATACAACTTTACACATTTGGATTGAAAGATCGAACGGTGAGTTGTGAATACTTTAATGACTGTAATCAATTAATTGATTATGGCAAGAAAAATATGCATTTTCTCCCACTTGATACTATCGATTTAGAAACTGAATTTGTATGAAATGATCTAGAATATGCAGAGTTTCATGTAAAATGGTACGTAAATCTTCTGTTGCTTTTCTTTACTTTTTGGTTTGAAAATTTCACTCAGTTTCGTTTACAAAATTTACATGTCTTCCTAATGTTGGCACTAAATGATGTATATAAATAATTAGACGAATGATCAATACTTTATAATTAGACAGAATATGTGCATACACGATTGGAGGAATGTACAATAGCAAAAAAGTAATTCGCTATTTTTAGCTTCATAGCTAATACGTTCAATGTGGGTATATCAGCACTTCTGTAACATCCAAAAACATTATACAGGAAAGAGAAACAAATATTTTTTTTGACTGACTGCTTAACCAGTGATGTCACTCGATAAACAGTCAATAAAAGAAGACTTTAATAGTTGATTGAGGATAATTACTCTCTCCTCATCTCTGAGAACGTTTGAAAATGTGCAGCCATCGTCACTGCTGTTTGTTGATCTAAAATATTACCACTCAAGGTAACAAACGTATGGAAGCTAATGTTTCAAGTTTGAGGGCATACCCTGGGCTTCAGCCGAAACCCGGCTCCGTTATGATTTTGAGTGAAATTGTAATAAATAAAGCCCGAGATAAAATGAGCTCCGGGATTTTAATTAACTGCTTAAATATTTGTCATTAATTTATCGCAGTTTATTAATTTTTAATCTCTTTACGCTCTATTTAATTTTAATTATTTATTTTAATTTACTTTTCTTGACTGTCTTCCATAGGGCTCCAGAACTTCTGATTTTAGAAATTAAGTCCTGGGCATAGACTATATGTAGGCTATCTCGTCTTCTGTGTGATTTTGATTTCTTATCGCCATATTAATATTGATTTATTTACACTCATTCAGATTTAAAAATAAAATTTATAAACTTTGAATAGAATCCAATTTAAAATTTAATTCTCTCTACATTTCTAGATTACTAATAGTCGCTAAATTTCTAAATAAATGTAATTTTTTCTTTTCTTTCTTCCTTCTTTTTTTTTCTTTCTCACTCTCTCTTTTGTTACTGTTTATAGTAGCTGAACATTTAAATGATGTAATTTTTGTTTATTTTCTTTTTCTCGTGTTTCCTCTTTTCTTTGCCTTTTTTTTTGTCTGCTTATAGTCGTACTGTTTTTCTTTTTTCCTCGATTTGTTATAAATTTTAAACATTTAATGGGATTTTTTTCTTTGTTTTTCACTTTTTCTTTTTCTTTCTTTTTTTCTGTTTTTTTTGATTCGCGACATATTAGCAAAATATTAGGCTTTTACAAGTTGTATTACTGGACGGAAACATGCACAAAATACAAACCCAACAGTACACATTCGAGGTTGAAGGGTTAAACGCTAAATTTTCAATAATTTAACAGCTTGCAGCGATTTATATTTATTTTAACTAACAAGTTAAAATTTAATTTTAAAAACTTTCCTGTAAGCCTTCATTCCCCTAATTGTCAGTGCCAGAATAGTTAAATTTTGTAGCGCGCGTGAAAGAATGCAAATTTCTACTTTGCAGATGTATTTAAAAACCGAGTTTCAGTAGGAGAAAGGAGAGAGTTAGACTCTAGACGTCACCTCTGCCGTAGATACGTTTGCTTATTGCTGGTTCAAGTGGCTTAATTGCATTCATTTGCTACCACTAGTTTTGAAGGGGGTTTAAATTACGGGATCTCACTGAGCCCTGTAGGTTAATTCTATCATTAGTTAATTTCTTCAAATTTTAGCTTTGATACTTGATTTTCAGTTATCGCCTAAGCACAGACGAAGTTTGTTAGCGTCGAGTTGACGCATTGTAAAATTTCAAAGATTTAATAAAGGGTACTTTGACCCTTCTCTTGTGTAGTTTCCTGCTACTCCAGTTTTCACACAGAAGTTTATCCACTGGTCTCTACAAGCTTTAACTGATTAACTGCTTATGACGATAAGAATGTGAATTTCTGCCACCTGTTACCTTAGATTAAAAGTGGGGCCTGATTAGTGCCTAAGGCTACAAAGTCCTGACCTAGGGCGCCGTGTTCTAAGTGCAAACAATCCTGCAATTTTTACTAACTCTTTTTCTTACAAAAACAAGGGAAGTGAACGTTGACAGCTTGCGAAAGAACTCTTTGCCTAAGTCTTCAGAATACCGAATGAGGCACTGAAAAAATATAATTTTTTTGAAGTTGTAATTGTAGCTTTATTTTGTGTAGAACTATAAATAAAGTCTTAATTTTACTTTTTATTTTCCTCTTGAAACTTTAATAATATATCATTCATAATTTCTGCTTTTCTTAAACATTGGATTTTTGAATTAAATTATCTGTTAAAAATGAAACGAATTATCAAAAGTTGTTTTTTTAAAAGATGAAATGTGAGCAAATCGGACTGGAGTCATGTACGACACGAAAACAGTTCAACATTGTTTTAGCATTGTATCTACAGCGCTCAGTGAAGGAATATCAGCACATTTGTACCATTTGGCTTGTCCGAGAAAGAAAAAAAAATCTCCTTCTATTGCTTAGTCAATGGTATCATTAGCAGTCAGTCGAAGGAGATTTTAATGATTGAGGGTTATTCGTCGTTTTTCATCTTCGTGCATGCTTCCAACTATGCAGCTACTATTTTCGCAATTGCTTCATATTTCTAATCAGACCAACAAGCTCTGCGTAAAGTAATATTTTAAGCCTGAAAACTTAATATACCTGCAATAAATCCCGTCTAGTATAAGATTTTGATTTCTTATTGCCATAATAGTATAACATTTCCTGCCTATTTAGTAACAAATGCTTATAGACTTTAAATAGAATACATTTTAAAGCTTAATTCTCTGTACATTTATGGACCACTTGTATTCTCTATACATTTAACGACTGTAATTTTGGTATCCTTCTTTTTAATTTTTTCCTTTTTTAATCATTATTTACTATACGAACACGTACATTGAAGAAATACATAAAAAGTATATTCACGGATACAGTAATACGCATTCAGCGTTGAAATGTAAAGGGGGGAATTATCTATAATTTAAAAGTATTTATTTGATTAGGATTATAAAAACGTGCAGCTTATGCTACCTGTTATTGTCAATTAGAAATAAAACTTCTTTTCAGGGGATCTAAAGTCTTTTCTGTTTTACCACTAGTTTATTTAAATCCGAACTCTTTCTCTTCGCTTTTTGATGATTTCTTAGCGTTTTATCTTTCACATTTTCTGCATCTGCATCTTTGAATAAAATGTATTTATCAAAAATGAAAAATTATTGAAATGGTCTTTTTAAGGTAGAAATTTGTTTTAGTTATTTATTTGTTTACGTCTTAGTAAATACATTCTGGTAAAATTAACAAGCTTTACCAGAGCCAATTGAGTTTGTCTTTTGAAAACCGTCTCTGCTCGTATTAATCTTTCAGTTTCCGGAAAATAGCAGTGACACAAAATTTTCAAGGATTGAGTAAACGTTCCGATATATCCACTGCTTGGCTTTCCCCGATTTTAGTTTTTTTTTTCAGACATTGGGAAAAGTGCATTAATTTTTATGTGTTTGACTTTGATGAGTATATAATTTTTATGTTATGCAGTCGCTATATTGTTTTTCTTCGCGAAGCCTTTCACTAATATAACAACTATTTACTTTGGCCCCAGCTCTCATGCTATAAAGAGAGAGAGCACAGTACTATTAACATTTCCTTAAAATCTCAGATTATATTCATCTATAAATCAATATATACAATTCGTTAAACTGGTGTTCTTTCTTAATTAATCATACAAGATATGCGTATTGATAAATACTTTATTATTTAAAGACAGACAGGGTTGTTCATAAGTGTCCTCATGCGGCCTTTATTTTTACAAACATTGGTCATAGATATGTACTTCCAACTACAAAAATTCCTTAAATGGGACTTACTAAATTTAAGAAATCAATTTCATATCGAAATCAATTGAAATCGAAAATATATTCTGCTGTTTGTTTATGATTCTTTTTGTTTTACGCATTATATTCCTCCAATTTCCTGCTAACAATGCTAAAGGATTTTAAACAGTAATTAGTTTTTGCTTTAGACAGTAATATTTAAGAATCGTATACCAAAAGCATAAAAAATAATTATAGTAATTTAAAATTTTACAAGAGCTGTGTACAAATCGAAAATATATATTGCTATTTGTTTATGATTCTGTTTGTTTTATGCATTATATTCCTCAAATATCCTGCTTTTTTAATACAAGTGAAATTTTGGCTTTAGATAACAATGCTAGAGGATTTATACAGTAATTAATCAGTTTTTGCTTTAAAAAATAATATTTAAGAATCTTAAGTAGCATTTTCATACTTATTTCTTTCGATACAGAGAAGAACACTGCAAATCTTATTTTTATACCTTTCCTTATATAAATGATCTTTCATTATTAAATTTTTAATGTTTTATAACAATTCAAAGTAATATACATATATCATGATTCATCTGTGAAGTTAAATTCAGTTACGCTATGGAATTATGTTATCCAATTACGCAATCAGTTATGCTACGGAGGTTCGATGGGGACTTCTTATGGTCTCCGAGACTTTTTGCCGCATAGAACACGCTTAAATGCACTCCTGAAATCTGGACTGAAAATTGTGTAAATAATGGGATTGAGCATGGAGTTGACGTAGCCCAGCCACAAGAAGATGGAAAACATGTAAGGATTAGGCTCCCATTCATCATTGAGAAGTGCCATTGAAAGAGCCATCACGAAGAAGGGCAGCCAACAGATGACGAATGCTCCAGTTATGATAGCCAGTGTTTTGGCAGCCTTTCTCTCACGTTTCGCTTCCGTATTTTCTCTAGTGGTCTTCTTCTTCATTTTCATTGGAGTCTGAAAATATATTTGAAAAAAATCGTTTAAAATTTCAATATTTAATGAATTCTGTTAAAAAATTAAAAGTTTCTTTTAAAGAAACCAAAGGAAAACCCATTTATAAAGGGAACTTTAAATTTCCTGAAGTCTAATTGCAAAAGTAAAACGAAGGAACAGAAATAATTCTAGTGAAATCTACGCATTAATTTTTTGATAAGATGAATAAAAAACATTTTTATACTTTCACGTTAATTTTTTTTCCGTATAATGGAATAAACCTGAAAAACTGCTTTAACTTTACTAAATACTTATCGCAATAGTGGAATCATTAGTTACTGCACCAAGTAATTTAAGGGAGAGTCGGTTTATTCACATTATCATGATTATTCACTCAAAAAAATCATCAGTATTTTATCAACTGTTTTTATCTCTTTAGAAATATCTCAAGAAAAACCGAGCAATGGTTAAAAGGAATATTTGGGACAAACTTAGCATTTTATGATTGAATAATCATTTCTTATTTAAAACTAAATTCTCTAAACGTGAAAAATTTCACTAGAGCTTTTCAAAGCAAATGATTTTTTAATTATGAAAATAATCATGCGTACTTTGGAAAGTTTAAAGCTGCTGATAAAGCGCTGCGAACGTTTTGTTAAAAATAATTTCATAACTGTGCTTTGAATGAGAGAAGCTTAATAATGAAAAATAAATATTTGTAATTACAAATGTAGTTTTGAATGAACTGTGTAAATTATGACTGCAAATTATTTACATTCAAAAATTATTTATATTCATTTGAGTACCTCTCTTGACAAGATCTGGAAGGAAGTGGCGATCACCATGTTCCTTCACATCTGTCCTTGTGCATGTACTCAGGAAAATTTTGGTTTTACAGCGAACTAGAGTGGTTCTCAAAATTAAGAGAATTTTACAATTTGATTGATTATAGGAAAAAATGATGGACAGATTTTAATGATATTTGGTATGGGCATAGGATCATTTGATAGAAAAAAGTAATAAAAGAAAATAAGGGTGTGGGATACACGCGTGTAAGGCTGCTCGGCCTAGGAAGATATAAAAGAGAGGTGGCAAGATTGAACTAATAGGAGTTATGACTGCTTCTAACAGTCATCCAACTTCCACAACATGACTTTATACTGGAAATGAAGCAATTCATGAGTCCCTTCAACAGTCCGTCCTCCTCTTGTATCAAAGCTGTTTTCAGATTTTGCGGGAGAAACGGAAGCGTTTACAATTACCCTCCCGAGAGCATCGAAAATATATTTTATGAGGTTTAGGCCTAGATGTCTCGTTAGCCAATACAATCCGTTAATATTTTCACTTTACAGAATGTCACCCACTGAATTAGTCCTATGTGGGTGAGCGTTGTCATCTATGAAATTGAAGTAAGGGCCAACTTCAGCCCTGAAAATGCGAACATAGGGCTCTAAGATTTCTTCCTTGTATCTCCAGTATAAGGTATGTATCGTCACAAAGCCTCTGTCAAAGACATGAATGTCTCTGTGCACGTGCAACATGAAGCTTGCTCAGACCATCAAACCTCCACAGCCGTACTAGTTCTTTTCTGGGATGTTGGAGAGCAGGTACTGTGTCCCTGGCTTTCTCCAGATGGAGGTACGTAGAGAATTGGTTCCTGAACCAGAACTCATCTGTAAAAAAATGGTTAACACTGATGCTTGGTTCAAAGTTGATGCTCTTTGCACCATACTAAATTGGCTTTCTTGGGCTAGAAGAAAGCGAAACACAAACAGCAAGTCTTCTGAAATACATTCCTATTCACATAATAAGCAACACAGGCAAAACACGGAATAAAAAAAAACGTTTTAATGGATATGCGTGAAGTTGATCCAAGACTTTGTGGCATTACTAGACCATATAGCAAACATTATTGCTTGCAAATACAATCAAAAACATATGCATTACGACCATCACATCGTGAAAGACCAAAGGAGTAGGAAGAATGTGCAATAGAAGTACGGTATAACGAGTTATATACCCTCTAGCTGAAACGCATACTTGACAACGGCGAGGCAAGCTGGCAGTAATGTCGTTGATCTCTTGTTGTGGCAGTAGCATCCATTCTGTAGCAATTCATCTCGGAGTTCAAGGAGGGTGACTGGCAGCATACTGCGCCCTGCTCTGTCATCCCGACATGCCCTATTGATGCCCTATTGGATTTGGGTCCGGTGATCTACAGCAGATGCACAGCAGATGCATGATGATCTACAGCAGGCTACAGCAGATGCTGAATGGTTTATAAGGTATTTTCTCTTTCCTTTCAGCATGCCTTCGTGGTGTAACAGTAGTACGCTCGGCGCTGATTTGAGAGGTCCATGTTCGAGTCCCGGCGAGAGCATTGCACGTTTCTCACATCTTCTGCTTCAAGATAATCTAATGACTCTACAGGTGTTACTCTCCAGATTACTGAGCACCACTTGAGCTGTATGAAGGCGGGCATTACCATCCATAAATACGCCTTGGTACACATTATAGCGATAAAAAGACGCACAACAGAGTGTAGGATTTCGTTGCGATATGGGACGGCTGTAACGGAACTATCAAGAATCAAATTCGTAGAGGTCGGGGCGGCTATTCGTTGCCATCCCAGCCCATATAAGTAAGCCTGCGCTCTGTAATGGTCACTTTCGATGATGTATGGCGCCAGATAGTATGTTCCTGGCTTTCGCCATATCATTGCCCTTCGGCAATCATTTTGGATGTTAAAACGACACTCATCCATAAAGAGTACGTGATCCCACTGCTCTGGTATCTAACTGCAATGTTCACTGGCCCAATTCAACCGCGCTCTGACATGCGATGGGGACAAAGAAACACAAACCACAGGTTGTCGGGCGTACAGTCCACCTTCATACATTCGACGTCAGCCGTCGTGCTGTTAGTGGTCTGAGACGTTTTGCACATAAGAACAGGAAGTGATCGTATGCCGTTGTGGTAATCCTTCGGCGTCCAGAACCTATTGATGATACTACGATGCATATTTAGCTCTCTCGCAACAGTAGATTGTCTTGCACCAGCTTGCAACATCCCGACTGCCCTCCAACGCATTTCATTGTGCAAATGGTGTCTTCGTCTCATGCTTTCCTCTTTGGAAATCTCGGATTACATGGAACTATCGCTGCTTGCGAACTGACACATAGGTCCATCGTGCTCCTTTGTAAGACATTACGGTGTGACTGCGGGATTGCGTTTTATGCTAATTTTGGTCGCCTATTTGCATTCGGCGATGCAACCTCTACTTCACATGTGATTTGTATGTTTTAATTCCCTTTCTTTTCTTTTAATGGTTGTTTAGATTTTAGTAGTAGCCATTGAAAGTACGGTAATCCTTGAAACTCGGCTCCTGTGTTCGCATTGAAGTCATGAGAGAGCTTAAAAGCTGTTGTAGTTCTTGTTATATCTCGCTAAAATGGACAAATATCGATCATAATTAACATCCGCGGCTCTTGAACAACCTTGCCCAAGTTTTTTCTGTATGGAGTTCCATAAGTTCATAGTGCTGGGTGTTACATTTGAGTGTTTAGTAATATGCAGTTGAGATTGTCTTGCTTCCAGCCTCACGATAATTTTCCATCTCATTTCACCATTTAAACGTTGATGGGTATTCATTTTAACAGTATGCTTCTGAGTTTCACCGAATTTGGGGGGAGGGAAAAAAGCCCGCGAGATTTGACGAGGAATGCCAGCGAACGAAGCGCAGAAAGTGCCACATGGAAACCTTCTCCTAACTACTCCGCTGCACGCAAACGTGCGCTAGTATAGTAGGCAATAAATATTTACAGTTTTGTTTGGAAGCACAATTTGTACTATTCTTCCAGTAAGTACTTTTCGCGAAATAAGCAAATCCTCTTAAATTTTGAATGCGCCGTGTGTATGAGCGAATGAGGATTCTCTATTTCTATCTCTTGAGTTGCGAGTAGCGCAGCGATTGCTTGTTCTGTTTTAAATAGGATAGCAATTTTGTCTCAGGAAAAAAAGAAAAATTCGCTAAACGGAGAAATTCACAGTTTTGGTTTTCTACTGAAAGTTTACAGAAATGTTGAAGAGAATTAGTAGGATGCTATTTCCTGTAACTATTATACAGGAATTCGCAACAATAACTACACTGAAGTGCCACTGAATTAGGGATAGACTTTTCTATGCAAATTTTGAAGCTCTGCGCAACATTTACGCTCACGTGAGAACGTTTGTGGTAACTGCATATGTAGCTAGTACTATGGCTGTTGTAAATCAGTCATTTCAATTGTCAGTATAGGTAAAATTTTTGATTTAGATACCTCCGATGGTGAACAGATAGTAGGTGCTCGACGCATTGCCCATTCAATTTCCGAAAATGTCATAGAGGTAGGATTTTCAAGACAGAAGGTGTCATGAGTATACCGAGAATACACGGATGATGGGAAAACACTAGCTATCAGGCAACTTGCAAAGGTCAATTAGCCTTGAGCGAATGTGGTGCGAGACGGCTCAGCTGTAAACATAGCTAGTGAAGCCATACATTAGCTCAAATTACCACCCAATTTAATCAGGGCGCCTGTCGTTCGTGCAACGCTCGCTTCACCGTACGGTCTTCGGGAACCGTAGATTCACGATAGTACCATTGCTCAGTGTGCCATATAACTGCACGTCTTGCGTGGGCTAGAGAAAACAGAACATGGATTCTAGAGGACTGTGGTTTGGGTGTGTTTTCTTTTGGCAGTGTTTGGGATCTTTGGTATTTTTACCAAACTCCCTCAATAAGTTTCGGTACGCAGAGTTGCTAGGCGGTCCTCTCTATTCATTTATGTTGGCCTGTCATTCACATGGAAACGGAATATTCCAGAAAGATAACTGCATGTCTCATAGGTCCCAGTTGGATGAGCATTCCTCTGATTTCTTTGTCATGAACTGGCTATTTAGAAGCCCTGACTTGTATCCGAGCACCTCTCGGATATTTTGGAGGAAAAGTGTGAAACCACATCACCCAACACTAGCGATCT